CCACCCACACACACGCACGCACACACACGCACGCACACACACACACACACACACGCACGGACACACACACACACGATACGTGACACCTCAGTCTGAATTGAATCTCTTGTATATATACATGCATTTCCCTCTTTATAAAGGAAGCTCTGTCTATCATGCAGCGTTACGCTTTGTTTGTGCTGCAGATTCATGTACTCATCATTGTATACTTTACGAATCATTGGCATGGACTTCTTTACATCATAGGAGGAAATTGCATATGTATATGATCATTGTTAAGGCACTTTTAGGTAAGTTGCCTTCTTATATTTCAAATCTCCTAATTTTTTATACAAATAGTTACTGTACTAGACCTCTACGAATTGTATCCTGACAAGATGAATAAAAATAAGAAATACCATTTTTGCAATTTACAACATTTTTATTTTCTTTGACACTTTTTTTTCCTTAAAAAGGATAAAAGTGTTGCATAAAATATTAAACGAATTTTGTGTCTTAAGATAATTCATATAAATTCAAGTCAAAGTCAATAAATTCAAGACTTGACAAGACGAATAAAATAACATACACTTTTGTGCAGACTACACTTTTATTTGTCAGCCTCTCTTTCTTTCAGTAGCGGAAATTTAAATGTGAGATTCTGGAAACGAGATCTAAATTTAGCGGGAACAGTCGGGTCGGGTAGAAAATTATTCTAAGCGGACAGCGGGTGAACAAAGAGTGAATATATAGCGGGAGCGGGTGGGTGCGGAATAGAACCTTGAGGGAGCGGGACTAAAAAAACAGTCCTGCGCAGACCTCTATCCTGGTGTGTCTCTGATGTGTGTGTGTGTGTCTCGGATGTGTCTCTGATGTGTGTGTGTGTGTGTGTGCCTCGGTGTGTCTCTGATGTCTGTGTGTGTGTCTCGGATGTGTCTCTGATGTGTGTGTGTGTGTCTCGTGTGTCTCTGATGTGTGTGTGTGTGTGTGTGTGTGTGTCTCGGTGTGTCTCTGATGTGTGTGTGTGTGTGTCTCGGTGTGTCTCTGATGTGTGTGTGTGTGTGTGTGT